ATACTTCCTGTATACGGGAGTTCTCTCCCTTTTGATTAATACAATTTACCTTATAAAAAAAAAGCGGAAAATCATCTGAGTCCCCACCCACCGTCCTCACTCGGGTCTTTACTCCATCATACATGTCCTTAATCAACCTAATGTAGGCAACATGTATACCTCTAGCCTCCAAACAGCTCCACAAAATTTCCCTTGGAACTTTATCGTATGCCTTTTCTAAGTCGATGAACATCATATGCAAGTCCTTTCTCTCCCTATACTGCTCCATCAATCTCCTAACAAGGTGGATGACTTCTGTTGTCGAACGCCCCGGCATAAACCCAAACTGGTTTTCGGAAATAGACACCCTCTTCCTCACCCTTAGCTCTACCACTCTCTCCTAGACTTTCATAGTATGGCTAAGCAGCTTGATACCTCGATAGTTATTGCAATTTTGGATATTACCCTTGTTCTTGTATAGAGGAACCATCGTGCTCCACCTCCACTCTTCGGGCATCTTCTTCGTTCTAAAAATGACATTAAATCCTCAGTCAAACACTGTCCTACAAATAGTAATGCAGGGAGTACTAGCATAGGGATTCAAGAAAGGAATGTAGGTTATATCTATAGAATTTTTGGGCAATCATGAAGCGTTCTTTCAAATCAACAAAGAGATGCTGCTTCCTTTTTTAATAAGAAGAATGCTGCTACCAGTATTAGCATCCTTGTAAGTTGGATAACAAAATATAGTGCAGAAAAAGTTATCTAAGTTGGTATTTTACCGTTCATGTTCTTGATTTTGTATTTACTGATGAAAACAGATTGTAAAACAAACCATTGAACAACGAGCCTTGGCAGCAGCAGCTCCAATGGAATCCATGAGATTCTTAGTTGAAACAGTCACCTGGAACGAGGCTTCTGTGGAAACAACGGACAAAAAGAATACGGTTGTGACTCTTGGCACAAAGGTTGGTATAACATTTTCATTATAGATATCTATTTTGCTAGTCGGCTGATCTATTATTTTGTGATTTTAGCGGAAGCAAGATAATTTAGAGTCAAACACAGAACTGCTGGCTACAGATGAAAATAAAGTACTCTGGCGTGCCAATTTTGAAGAGTTTATTCGCCGCTTAAGGCACAAGGTTGGTCTGTCAACTTCTTGTGATGGAGTACCAATACATTCAAATTAGTGTCATTGTTAGGTTATTTCACAAAAACCGTTAAACCATCAAAGAAAACAGTAGAATTGAAATCTCCTTAGAATCCCAAACATGCCTTGCTAGAATCACAGCTATTATCAAACTGTATGGATTGTAGGCTTGCGTTGCAAATGTGAAAGTACGTGTCAACAATGATGCTGCCATTGTGCTTGCTGCGACCCTGGAGTTGAGTAGACATTCTGAGACTAAAGTGAGAATTGATAACTCAGGTGAGTGTGGATTTCATTTACCGGTCAATTAATTTGAAACATGTCTTTGACCTCTTGCTGATATTACTAACAGATAAATAGAAACTAAAGTTTGCATTTGTCAAAAAAAAAAGGAAGAAGAAGATTTGGATGATAATATGCTCAACTATGGGCGGGTGCATGGTGACAACTGATGCATATGTATATGTTTGAGATGAGGGATTGCCAGCATCATGACATAAAAAGACATGATATTTCACATCTACAATGTTCACCAACTTTTCTTCATAAAATAGAAACCCTGCCAACTTTAATCTTCGGCCTTGCTTTTGAGGCTTTAACATCTTGAGTTTTTATTGTGATGGTACATTCATGTTGAATCATTTACTCATATATGGATAACTTTCTAGACTGGAGCCTGAGCCTTATAGACCCTTTTCAGAGACATGCACAACAGTGGCATGCTTGCTTCTATACTTTTCTGTAGTTGAGTAATTTCTGTATGATAAGGTCTGTAATTGAGTAAAAGCCGTGGCCTGTACAGTTTACATTTGTGTACTTGCTTAAGATATTGTGCCAAAAATTTGCATTTGGTTTGTTTTTGTGAAAGGTAGCAATTTGTGTTGATGAATATCATATTCATGTTTTAGCTGTTTCATTGTAGTGTTATCTTTGGCTTTAAATTTCACGACTCTTTTATCCCACCTTCTAAATGTGTTGGTCATTATATTTTTTCACTGAAATCTGAAATCATTATTTGCAGTTCCTCAGTCCATAAATGCTATTTATGATGAGGTGATAAAGAGGGATGGTGGTCTTGGTATGGATTTGGAGCGTATCAGAGCTTCCCTTGTTGAATTAGGATGTGAAACCCCATTGATGGCAATAGATGAAACTTATAGTGTAGGTAAGCATATCTATCCATACTTGACTTTTCATTGTAATATAATCTTGAGCAAAGTCCAATACCTTGTGGATGCTGGTGTTTGATTTCCATTATAACGACTGATAGTTATGTGTCTACAGATTTGAAGAACATTATTGAACAGGCTCGCATTGAAGAGGTTGGTTACAAACTTATAGACCAAGGTTACTGTTTCAATTTGCTAAAATCTGGCTTATTTCATCTCAATATGCTATAACTTGCAGGTGGAATGCATTGTATTAAAAAGGTATGGAAGGGAGGCCTACAGGATGTTCAGATTACTGTCAAAAGCTGATCGTCTTCTTGAAACTGATAAGGTATCACAGACTTGCTGAATGTATGTTGATTTAAAGGCAACTTAATTTGAACTCATTACCCATGCTAGATTTCTACGAATCGTTCGCTACATAAGTAGCAATGGGGGCACTCAAGGATGTAGTGTAGAGGTCAATGAAGTGGGTGAAAACCATCAGAGACCAGGTTGAAATCTCAGTAGAGACAAAAAAACTCTATGTGATTTTTCCCCATCTGCCTAAGCTTTGGTTGACGGAGTCACCTGGTACGTCACTAGTAAGAGGTAGCAGTTACGCGGTGAAACATTCAAGGTGCCCACAAGCGGGTCCAGACACCTCCTTTATGAGAGAAATAAATAAATAAATAAATGGCAATGAGGCTGCTCTGTACTTGCCAGATCTTGTTTATCATGGGTTGTCTTCCCTGTTTCTTTTTAGTCCTTAAAACATCTATTATCAAGTCCAGCTAATGTTGTTGAGGGACGAAAAGTACTTCAGTGAAATCATTAGGCATAGATAGCTATATTTTTTCGTTGAAACTGGTTTATTTGTTTGCTATCAACTTTAATTGATGACTATCATTTCAGTTTTCTCCTATTTTTTTTATTCAAAAGCTTTATTTTATTATCAAAATGCCAAGTTCACTTCACCCAGAAATATGCATTGCTTAGTGCAGGAACTGGGAGTTTATATCTCTTTGGTTCTCTAAATTGTAATTTACTCTAGCAAATGTAAGTTTTAATGTAGGCCTTCAAAACATTTAGTCCCCAAATGTAGCAACACATTTCACAAAACTGAAGCTAACAATAAAAATCATTAGAAGTATGAAGGGAATAAGTAAAAATTGAACAGATTAGAAGATTTGAGTGTTTCTTTTTTCTTTTCTTTTTTTTTTAAATAAGGAAGAGTGTAGTAGGATAGCACTCTCCCCATTTTTTTATTTCTTTAAATGTCCCTGCCAACTCATTAAGTATATGGCATTTTTGTCTTTTTTGAATTACCCCAGTTCATTCCCTCTCCCCTGCATCATCTGGAGTCCATTTCAGTTCACCCTCTCCTTGAACAACAGTCACCACTGTTGCCCCATCACCACCCGACAGCCCTCTCCACCACGAATAAACCACCACAAGGCATTCCTTATCTCATCACCTTAAGAGAGCTCACAGCTACCTCCATACGCAAACACTATTTTTCTGCCCAAACAACACCTCCAAGCAGCCAGTACCAATCACAGAGGACTCCAACAAAAACCACCAGCCACCCTCAAGCCTTCATACACAAATTCAATAGCTCTTGTTAAGACTGGACTACCAATTGTTTCCAACGAACTGCAACTTTTCTGTCAAACGGGAGGATTTCCAATTTCTAATTGTGAGTAAAACCGAATTTTGCATCAACTGTTAGAAAATATGTTTCAATGGCAAAAGTTACTGATTTTTTTTTTTTTGTTTTTGCGAAACATTATTGTGTGGCTTCATCAGTTCTGGGGAGCTTTTAGTTCAGCCAAAAGTGGGGCAGCTCGGAAAAGCTATTTGGATTCTCAGATCCTAGCGCTGCCATTTCCGTGTTTGTCCTGTTGCCCATCCTTGTTTCCTTTGGCTGCTGGAGTTCAACCATCTGCCAAAGTTCAATTTGTTTTCTCCCACATACTTGAAGATGGATGGCTGTAGAGGGGAGGAGGCTGCAGATACCTAGGGTCAAAAACAAATGTATCAAGAACTTGTATTTTTGGTGTCATAGTAATACCTTAGATAAGATGGATCAGTGTTCGGAATTTTTACACTTGTTAGGTGAAAACATGTAGTATGTTGGAGTGAGAGCTGCAGTTATGACCTGTAACTTTTTCTATACCATCTTGGTACCTTTTCAGTATATATCTTTACTTTAAAAAAAGGAGGAATGGCTGTAGCAAATTGCAACTCACAAAGCTGAAGAAAGTTGGGTTAAAGACAGAAAAACCCTTATATTTAATGTACTAACAGGGGTATTTTGGAGAATCGTGGGTACAATGCTAACCTACGATGGCCATGTAGTAGGTTGGCAAAACCTTATATATATATATTTGAAATCTAGATATATAGAGAGATAAGGGGTTTGGATCTGATATTTCTGGAAATAACTGTGTTCCATTGAAATTATTGCTGACATGTAGAGGCTCCTGAGAAAGTATGCATCATATAAGAACAATGTTGAAGTGCTTTCTTGTTTGAGTTTTTACAGAATATTTGGGTGATTGAAGGTTTTCTTTTTGCACGCTACAATTTGTTGATAAATGAGATGAAAGCAATCTTACAATACTGTTTTCTTTTCAGATTTCAGATACCACATTTGTTGAAAAGAAAGATGCAGCCAAGATTCTATTTAAGCTGTGGAAAGATGACTACTTGGAGATGAAGGTAATATATTTCTGGGCTTCTGTTGTAATAGAAGAAGAAAATCTCCTGTTTGGAATGCTTCCTTAAAATTGAAGACCTTTGAGAGTAGAATAAAAAATATCTCGAAATTATTTTGTGGATTTTCTTGCTGTCTTATGCCAATGTCATGGAAGCAGCAAAAAGGCATATTTGGCTTGCTTCTGCATCTTAAGATAGCTAAAGCCAATATGAAGGGAGGGTAAGTGCTGTTTTCTAACATGCTATAAAGTATATCTTATGTCTTGCTAAATAGTGTAACATGCCTTACTCTGATCTATCCCATGGTGGGGATTGATTTGAGTATGTTTCCGATCTCAGGATGCATTCCAGGGGAGGTGCTCTTGCTAATCTATTCTCGTCTCACGTAATCCACGAGATAATTTGTTCTTTTTGAAAGTAAAATTTTGTATTTCGCTGATCAAAATGAGACATTTCTAGACACCTGGTGCATACCCTGAAATTCATAGAGCTAAAAAAAAGATCTTTATTTAAGCAGCAAAAATATCCTTTGGAAGTACTTATAGAAAGAGTATCCTTTGGAAGTTCCAGATACTGTGCNGAATGGTTGCTTCTTCCTGCTGGCTTTCTTTCTATAAGCAGAAACATTGCTACTAACTAGACACATCCTTGCTTCAGCAGCAATTCCCTCACATCTTTTAAGGTCTCCATCCATAGTGAAGCAAGAAAAGGAAGGTGGATAATAGTGAACCTTCACACAGCGCCAATAAATCTCACAATCAACTAAGGTCAGAAGGTCAACAAAGGATACAATAAGTAGCTGCATGAGATAGCATAAATACCCACTTATGCAACGGGGAATTTCTCCTTGTTGCCCTCCTGTGCTACATTAGATAATCAGTTGTTAAGGAGCCTTCTGATCTAAAATCTTAACTCAAGCTTTAATATGCTTTTCGTTCTAAGATATAGAAAGTTGAAGGTGTTTCAAACCCCCTAATGGGCTTGCACTTGCAGGACATAATATGTCAAGAGGGACAAAATACAAATCAAAATGACAAGCTCGAAATTGTTTTATTTTCCAACTGCGACTTATATTGAAGAAAGCTGGTTATTCTTCTTTTCTTTGTAAGACATGCAAGCACATGCATACACACACACACACACACACACACACACATATATATATATATATAGAGAGAGAGAGAGAGATTGCATTGAACAAAGCTTCTAACACATACTAATGATATTCCCCCATTCACTCCAGAAAGTTATTGCACGTGGAGCAAGGCAATCAGAATTCATACTGTGGAAAATTAATAAGCAATCTCTTTGGGAACATGTTCTAGATGAAATGTACCATGCTGCCCTTAATTTGAGATTGAGAATAACACATGAGCAAGAACAGGAAAAAGAGGTTTGTTTACAGAGCTCACCTATCAATGTTCTTCTTCTGTCTATTGCACGTTATTTTGTTATTTTTCGTTTATCTTCTATTTTAATGAACTCTGCAAGTGTAGGTTGACAGATAATGTCTATATTAATGAACCAAATAATTAGTTATTTTATGATTGTCGAACAGTATGCATTTTTTACCGAGGACATGACCCTTGGTAGGAAGGTGTGGAGGTCGAGGATTAGGGTAGAAGGTTAGGTAGCCGAGTGTTTGCCTTGTTCATACCAGTAGTTTTAGTGCACTACTTAGTGTTAGTATTATATTGTCTTATTCTTATATTTCTGTTATTACTTGTTGTTTCTTTCGCTTCAGTTTTCTGATTGGTTTGTTGGTGTTGCTGCTTGTTGTTACACCTTCCTTTTTATCCTTCCTGAGCCTTTTTACCCTTTTTATCTTTTTTCTTTCCCGAGTCGAGGGTCTATCGGAAACAACTTTTCTACCTTCTCAAGGTAGGGGTAAGGTATGCGTACATACTACCCTCCCTAGACCCCAGGATTACGCTGGGTTTGTTGTTGAACAATATGCATTTGGGACCATCCTTCATTTTAGGTTCTGTATCTTCTAATGAAAGATGATTGACTGACAACGAAGTTCTTCTTTTGATTGTGTAAGACATACATATCAATTGGCTAAGAATTAGTGTGTCTAGAGACTGACACAAACCAAAAAGGAGTTCAAAGGGAACAAAACAGTCTTTCTAATTCCACTTTGAGGCATGAACCGTTTACGTTGAATGCAACTTGAATGTGAATTAGTTGTCTATTCTGCGACTTTAAACATAGTTGTGGTTCTTCCACTTTTTTCGGTTGCCGGGCAGATTAAGTTTTCAAACACAATATCAAGAATGATATACTGGAAAAGAACTTGTCATTTCCTGTTTCCGTCAATCATGATGGAAGATTAACAAATAAAGGAATAAGAAAGGAAATAATAAGCGATCCATTTGATTCGTGTTTGAAATCTGGTAGATGGGGCAAATTATTGCAGACATGGGAAATCATTAGGCTAAAGTAATAATTCAAATATAGTGGGGTAGTCTGATATTGAAATGATAGCATTCGGTCATGTAAACATGCATGTCAAGAAAGAATACAAGTATCTAGGGAAATTCTAAGCTACATATGTTATTTGGAGAGGCTGTAGAAAGTTGACGTAACGGGGTGAGGATTGGACCATTTTACTTTTTGCTTTCCCTCGAGCGGAAGGACTGATCTATTGCGCCGCATGTGGAAGACTGGGCCTTAAATACAAATTGTCTGTTGCTTTGATTTCACAGAATGTGAGAATGTCATATGGTTTCAACTTCAGAGTTACAGTTGGGTTTTCCTACCCCTGAGGGGTAGAGTTGAGTGAATTAGGTTTAGGCCAACCTCAGCTTCACATTGCCTTGGTCTCATGTTGAGGTCAAGTTGCAAAACTTTTTTCTTTTTTGTTTGTTCCTATGTCTTGCCATTAACTTCATTATTGTCACGACCACCACTTCGGTTGCTACATCTATGGTTTGGACCATAGTTAGGAAAGGTTCTTGAAGGAATTGTGCAAGTTCTTTTCCCTTTTATTTTTCTTGTCTGAAGTAGAAATCCACGAAAAAATTAATGCTAAAAGGAATGTCGGCTAAAATCACCGTTCTTGCATGAACTGGAAATCTCCTTCATATATGAAAAAGCTCTCTTGCATTTACCTTCCCCTTCATTGACTATTATTGGATTCACATGCTCTAATATCTTAACTGTTGTCATGTGTGCCAGATTCTTCAGATGCCCAGAGAGAAGCTGGTAAAGGAACTGCACAGTGAACTGCACAACAGATACAACCGCCTAAGAAAAGTCCGGATTACTTTGGAATCCTCCCTAATGAATCTTGACGATGCTCTCATGCTCTTCCATGACTTTTAAATCGAGTATTTATATCTTATATCTCACCTTTCTTCCCTGACCTCCCCCTTTTTTTCCTTTTATTAGATTAGATTTTGTGCCTTTAGACAATCAAACAAAAAATTTATATATGGTGCCCTTAGGATCTTGCTGTTCTCATTGCATTTTTTATACAGTTCAGGATTGGATTTGACTGACACCAATAAGACATGTCATCATGAAGTATATTAATCCATGCAGGCTTTTTCCTTGTTCTTAGCTGATTTCTTGAACCATGAGGGGACTAATTAGGAAACCTGGTGCTGTCAGTTTCTGTTTGGCTTCAACTTTTTCTTTAATGAAAAATCAAAATTAATAAGGAGACAATGTCAGACTAACTACCAGCAATAAAAAGAATAACATGTTCATTTACCGCATTTTACTTCTAAAGGAATCAATTTCGAACATCTGCTTTGTATTGTCCAGTTAGTTGAGTCCCGCTGATTTTCTAGGTTTCCAAATACCTTTTGAAATTATGTGATTGAATAGCAATGCTGAATTTTCGTACAAGACTATCAGGCTATGACAACTAGAATCATAGGTGCATGCACAATCAGTTTCCTTGCTCCTTTTTATACTAAGACAATTTAAGTTTGCAGGTCAGTGTACACCTCGAAATCACAAAATATTTCTACATACTTGTTAGGTTGTTAGTTGCCACAGGTTATGTACATAAAAGATTTGCTACCTATCTGATAAGAGTTACATTGATTTTGTGAATGTCAGGAACAATAACAGACGTTTTGCTAACATAATGACAGTAATCATTCAATAGATCATATTTTGTAGGAAAACAAGTAATTAAGTATAAGTTCTAAGAAGAAGAATATGATTCGTGAAACTCTTGCATGGATTGAATGCAATGAAAGACTGTTGAAGTAGCTGGACGGGTATATAAATTACTCTGCCAATGCTTAATGGAATTCGCATTGCCAATTCAAACAAAGTATATATGAGTTTGTCGGTTGGATCTATTGATGAAATTTTCATGAAACTCTCTTTCTTCTTCTTCTTCTTCTTCTTCTTTGTGCAGGTTTTAGACTTTACTTAGTTTTCAAGATGACGAGAAACTAGTTCAGAGAAATAATCTCACCAAATGGAGGATCAACTTGGACGTCTTAAGTTAATAATGATATTTTGAAAATAAACCAAATCTAAACAAAGAAAAGACTTAGAAGTATAACTTAAGTATGCACTGCTTGTCCTTGCGGTCTCCTCGCTGCCCTTTGCCATTTATTTACCTTATATTCACTTGTTATTTTCAACTTGTTCTCCTTGTCTGCCCGAGAATGCTGGCGTTTTTTGTGCCTTCGTAGCTACGAATTTATTGGTTTTGATTGGTTATCTCTGACAGTCCACAAAAAATTAAAGTACTATATTTCGTGGAACAACGCAAAGATGTCTAAAAAAACAATTTCCTCGATATGCTTCAACCGCAAGTTCCACAAAATGACATTGAATCGTTGTTGAAGCAAGGCTTGTTACACTTCTTTTCCCTAGCATTTCAGTTTCAACGTTTTAAGTTAATAATGGTATTAATACTCCAGCTACGCTGAAGTTTTTACCAAGACCGAACTAACAAGTATTTGAAGTTGAAGTAAAAAAAAATTGTGCAAATTTTAGTTAAATTACTCTTTCATCTCTTCCTCAATGGAAGAGATGACGCAGACACCAACACCACAATTACATTGCCGTTGCATGCCTTTTTCAAATATGAACCTTGAAATAATACACTGCAAAAGGCTATTTGGCTGTTCCCCTTCCAAGCATTTGGAATATGGCCTAGACTTTTATCCCTATTGTATCATGGTTATAAAGACCCAGACCAACCTAATAATATTGTGAATAACAGGGCCAACAGGAGCTGAATGCAAAACAATCTATACTTTAGTCATGCACAAAATGCTTAAAAAAATTCATAGCCGCCAAAGGGTGACAAAAACTAAATTAAAGGAAGCGACTGAATCAGCCATACACGTCCAAATTCATTTCAGTAGAGCTATGGTAACAGCAAGGCACAAGCAAAAGCAGATAATTAACACTAGTATTACCAGAAAAACATGCACTTGGCAAAAATGTCTAAAATATCACTAATTTCAAAATCTTCATGGAACATAAATCGGGAAATTTTAATCACAAGTCTTCTTTCTTGAAAACGAAAATACATTGCAAACATAAAAGCTAGTGAATTAACTAACTGGGTTCTTCAATCATCAACCATACAGGTTTCATTTCTTCTTTTCACCACCTCCAGTAGCCCTGTAAAAGTCCAAAAGAAAAAGAAATGAAACATGAGCCAACCGGCAAGGGTTTGTAACACTCTTCAGCAACAGAATAATACTAGTAAATACTAACTTCCTCCCTCTACTGAATGGTAAGAGAAAACAAGACATTACCTCATCTTACGGAGAACACTAGACATCTCTTCTCTCTTCTTCTTTGCCCTCTTGTGAGTGCCCAACTTCCTCTTGGCTACCTTCAAGGCACGCTTGTCCTTTCCAACTTTAAGAAGCTCAGTAATCCTTTTCTCGTATGGAGCAAATCCAGCGACTTCTCTGATAAGGCTCCTCACAAAGTGGACTCTTTTGCTTGTTTTCTAAAAACAAATAAAATGGAAAGAAGATTATGATGTGCTCAAAATATGCAAGTGAAACATGTTCAATTACGAGACAAAAGCATAGCACACATTGATCCAGATTCCAGCTAGAAATTATTTGATCATGTTTTTTTGTAAGAGACAGTACACTTCAACAAGACAGCATACAGTCTATAAGGAGTATATGAGCGACTATTCACCCCTTTATTCTCAAAGGGATATATCTTTGTCCTGACACTACATCCAACCCATTCTAGCACAAGACATACTTGCATATTCTATAACGTCCAAAGTGTACTCTTCCTATACCAACAAAATTTCAACTCCCAACTCCAATAAATTGCAAATTGGTCCAAAATCTAAAGTTTCAACATTTTCTTATAAGACTACCAAATCAAACAAAACTTCAGCTCCCAAATTCAATAAACTGTAAATTGGTATCCAAAATCAAAAGTTTAGCCATTTTCCTCTAAGACTAGGAAAATCATCTGTATCTGCCAGTCTAAATTCTCAAAAGTTAATCAACTATTTACAATTTTAAACCCTGTGCTATAAAAGCCAGAGTTGTGTGCAATGAAGCCCAATATGCCATAGAGAACTATACAAAAAGTTCCCTCTCGCACCCCCACACATAGTAGCCACAGAAACATCTATCAAAGACATCTTGTGAACACTCACTACTGTTTAACAATTTCTACGACTTGTTCAGAGTTCAGATCAACTAATATCCTGTCCTTTGTGTATATATGCTCCGCAGACAAGGTAGAAGTTTAAAAAATATGCAGATAGATTCAAATCCAAACAATACAAGCCCGAGCTATCACCATTAGAAAACAACAGAGACATGCAAAACAAAGAATTCAAAAACTCACCCCTTTTCTGTCGGAAGGACGTGGAGCTAATTCCTTCTTGGTCACAACATGGCCTTTGTTTAGCCCAACAGATAGCCCTGTATTAGGCTGCTTCGGAGCCATCACCTGTTTAAACCAACTTTCAACCCAATCACAAAATAGCATTACCAACAGTTTCTAAGTAAATGATACTACCTTAAAAGATATCATAGTATTTTCTCTGTCCTAAAAAGAAAAACATCTAAAAATCAGAACTTCTGAAACTAAAAATCTTAAAAAGCACAGAATAAATTTAAAAAAATACTATGAATCACAATTCTCATATTAAAAGAATATTTAGAAAACGTTATAGGAGAATTAATGAAAAAAATAGTTTGACTCTTCGAATTAGCAACAGTTTCAAATAAAATGGCAAAGAGGTAAAATGGTGTTCCCTTTTCTGGATAGTATCATCATAAACACGCCATCTTCCATCACAACATAAAATACCGAGGATTTATAAAACATTTAAATAAAATAAAAAAGAAATTACAATGTCTATAGCGCGATACCAAATTAGTAAACAAAATGAAAGAGGATCTGAAACAGCAACTGGAAGAAGGTGTGTGAGTAAATCATACCTCTTCAATTCGTTCGATATGGAAGAAACGGTGAGGAATTAGGGTTGTGAAAAAGAGGAACTAGGGTTTTGGGACAGTGCTGCTTTTTATAGTGGTGATGACAGTGATAATGCGAGCATTTTGAGGGTAAAGTGGTAAATTAGCGTTTGAAGTGTCTTCTATATGAGATTCAGTGTTTGGGCCGTTTGAGCTGCTGCACAAGTGGGAAAGTTTGAGGAGAAAGCCACTTTTATGGATGTATTTGAAAAATAGACAGTATTTGTAATGTATTTATTTATAAAATAGAAAGGGAAAAAAAAATAGTGGTAGAGGCCCCTTTTTTCTACTTTTTTGCATAAATAAGAATGAAAGTGAATACACAAATAATGCTTCAATCTCAAGCTTAACTTCTCAACGCTAACAACAATTTCAATTAGTTATAGCCACTTATCATTGTTAACCGTGGAAAGAATGTAGGAATACTATAATTGCTGTAGAGAAGCACAAAACTGAAGGTGAATATTGTATGCATTTTTGTAACTCTTCAACTTAACTTACATAAATAATAATAATAATAATAATAATAATAATAATAATAATAATAATAATAATAATAATAATAATAATAATAATAATAATAATAATAATTGTGAGCAAATAAATCCCATGTGAAGTTTTCAAACATTTTCGTTAAAATCGATCCCTAAATAAGTATTTTAACTTCGTGGCAATTCAATCAAGAGTAGTTGAAACTTCATAACAGTTCAATCAAAAGTATTTGAAACTTTTTTTTGTGAAGAGAAAAAATTCTTATTAGTTACCTATTAAAACTGTCAATTACAAAGCAAGTATTCCCTACCATCTACAAAACTTAAATGCATAACCCTGCTTGGATTATACAGTTCATCTATACTCTGCTCTATTCTACCTTCTCTATTCTTTTTATACAAATACAAATTTTCTATCCAAGCCAGTTGTCTTTTGCTTTGTTTCCCTCTACTCTGTGTCTTGTATCTACATTCTTCTTTGATATTCCTGCTCTCTTGTCACCATGTGATTCCACACAACATCATTCCTGTTCTTCCATACCAGAGCAACAAATATTGAAAGTGCAAATGTCCTGCATTATTTCCCTTTTATGGATATGTTAAGCTTCCTCCATGTTGCTGCAAT